AGGTTTTTGGTTTTCTTTAAGTTACTGATGTAAGTGAATTAAATTTGAGTCATACACATTCTCACAGTTTTATCTGTAGAGAGCAGCTAAGCAGGTTCTAGGTATTAATTAACACCTTGGGAAATTTTAATTAGATTTTAGGAATACAGGGGGAAAGCCATTAGTGAGGCAGGACCAGAGCTTCTAAGACACTATTTAAGTTCTACCTAACACAATGTGAGTATATGTTAATGTATATGTTAATATTATTTTGTTTCATTATAAGTTATACTTCTGGAGCTTATATGAATCAGTAACTTAGAATATTAAGCTAGATAGGCAAGGGAAGAAAAAAACAGCCTTTGCATATCAGTTCCAAGCCAAGTAGTCTGTTTTGGTGTTAATCACCCTTCTCAAGTTATGCAAAGAAAGAATGTTCCTGTGCAGAGACACCAGCAGTGCTGTCGAAAGAAGGACACCTTACTTCTGAGCATGTACCGTTACCAGCCTGCCTTTATCGCAACTGAGATTCAGTAAGACTTAAAAGACGTGCTGTCCTACCCTGTAAGTGTAGTCTAGCTTTCTCTTCTTCATGTTGGTGCTAGGGCAGTTAACTGACTTTGTAATCTATGAAACATTATCCTATTTGTATTTATTTATGACATGAATATGTGTGTTATTCTAAACAAATAAAATGTATGCTGTTTAAGCAGGGAGCCAGGCATAGTAGGCTCACACCTTAGAGTTTGAGGTCAGCCTGGTCTACACTGTGTGTTCGAAGCCAGCCAAGACTGCACAGAGAGACCTTGCCTCAAAAAAACAAAAGAAGCCAGAGGCCAGCAATATGGTTCAGTGTCTAAGCCTGGCAACCTGAGTTTGCTCTCAAGAAATGCTTACTTTGTGTGTGCAGGAAGGAACCAACTTCTGAAAACTGTCCTCTGACTACTGCACACACCAAATAAGTATTTTCCAAACGTATTCAAAGAAGGAAGTCAGGTGTGGAGGCACTCACCTATAAACCTAGCATTGGAAAGGTTGAGGCAGGAGAATCAGGAGATCAAGGTCCAGATCCTAATTCGATAAAAATTTTTAGAAAGGAAACTGGGCATGGTGGTGCCCGCCTTTAATCCCAGGACTCAGGAGGCAGAGTCAGTTGGATTTCTGAGAGTTCAAGACCAGCCAAGGCTACACAGTGAGACTCTGTGTTTAAAAAAAAAAAAAGATAATTGTGTGCTATTGTACAAGAAGATGGCTCTAGATAATAATATGTCTTTTCAAATGCTAGAAGATTTTGAATGTTTTCACCATAGAGAAATGTCATGTGTATAGGAGATAGCTACTTGTGACCTGATTTAAATGTTGAATAGTATAGACATGCATCAGAACATTTCATTACTTCATGTTTTTATACATTACATTTGATTGTTTTTACTCAGTGGGTGCTGCGGGAGTACCTTCCGCTCCTGCTCCTTCAGCCAATAGTCGCTGAAGTACGAGCCCACAATGCTGCGGGAGCGCCTTCCGCTCCTTCAGCCAATAGCCGCTGAAATACCAGCCCACTGGGGCGTGGTATATTTCTCTTTTAAAAAGAGCCATAAGTCTCAGCTCGGCCTCTCTTGGTTCCGTAGCTTGTTTCCGGCTCCTGCTCCAGCGACTAGGCTCCTTTCCTGACAGTTTGTATGTATGTAAGTTTTACCTCCCCAAATAAATACCCCTTTAAAACCTAACTGGTGTGGGATTGATTCGCCATTAAGTGGGTAAAGTTGCTTGCTGTGCAAGCGTGAGAACCTGAGGATCAGCCCCCAGTGTCCACTGGGGCATGGCAGCAAGTACCTGTAATCCAGCACTGGGGAGTGGAGAGAAGAGGACCCCTGGGACTGGCTAGCAGCTAGTCCAGCCGGATTGACAGATTCAATGAGAGATCCTGTCTCAGAAGTTAAGGTGGAGAGTGGTGCACAGCTTTAATCCCAGCACTCGGGAGGCAGAGGCAGGCGGTTCTTTGTGAGTTCGAGGCCAGCCTGGTCTACAAGAGCTAGTTCCAGGACAGGTTCCAAAAGCTACAGAGAACCCTGCCTCAAACTAAGAGAGAGAGGGAGAGAGAGAGAGAGAGAGAGAGAGGGAAACACTCAACATTGACATCTGGAATCCCACATCAGTGCAGATGAAGTCTATGTTGTTCCCTTCAAGATGTCCTTAATTTGTTTCTAGAACTACTTACGCTTCCCTCCCTTCCTACTGTGATGCTAGGATCAAAAACAGGGCTTTGCGCCCTCTGAGCATATGTTCAGACACTCTGCCATTAGCCCCGCAGCTTTTTTTTTTTTTAAGGTAGTTTCACTGTGCAGCCTGCGCTGACTTCAAGCACAATATTCCTGTGAACTAAAGTCACAGGAATGTGAACCGTAATGTCCCACTTCATACCTCTTCTTAACAGTAGGAAAGACAATACCTGCCAGGCAGTGGTGGCACTCAGGAGACAGGCGGATCTCTGTAAGTTCAGTGACAGCCAGGGCTGTTGCACAGTGAAACTATCAACAACAGTAGAAAGCAAGAACTCATAATTCAAGCCGGGTGGTGATGGTGCATGACTTTTTAATCCCAGCACTCGGGAAGCAGAGGCAGGTGGATGTCTGTGAGTGTGGGGCCAGCCTGATAGCTCTATAGAGCTATTTCCAGGACAGGGCAACACACAGAGGCCCTGTTGGCCTGGAGGGCTCATATTTAATTATAACAGTATCTTCAGAGAAACGTGAAATGCTTCATTTTCTAAATCTTTCCCAGTCAACATTTAGCATCCTGGAGAGGAGCAGCCCTCCAACAGTGCCTCATTTCCAGATAAGTTGTCCTGTTTTAGATTTATGAACTACTTACGAATGAGACAATCCAACCCACAGAAAGTGTAAACTGTAGCAAAACGAATGCCAATTTGTACCTTTACCTAGATTGGCCCACTGTTAATCCTCTTGCCGTATCTTTGCCATCTTGATTTCTGCCCTTCTGCCAGACCATTCAGGTATTGACCACAGTCTTTAAAAATGTGCCATTTGATTCCTGGCGAGATGACAGAGATTGGGAGCTTCTGTTGCTCTTTCAGAAGTCCTGGGCTCAGTTCCCAGCACCCGTATGGCAGCTCACAACCGTAACTCCAGTTCCAGGGGATTTCATGCCCTCTACTGACTTCTTCAGGCAACCAGACACACACACAGTGCTCACACATTCAGACCCACAAAACAATCTGTAAAGATAAAAAATTTTTCAAAGAATTTTTAAGGAAATCTGCTATCTTTGCTAGGCATTGTAACACATGCCTGTAACCACACACCTCAGAAGACTTGAAATGAGGATCACTGAGTTCAAGGCCTATCTGGACTTTAGAGTAGATCTTGTCTCTAAAAAAAATTGTGTGCGTGCGCGCTCTCTTAATGGTTGCTTGCTGCCTTTTATTCTGTGGCTTTCCTAGTCAGCAATTGCAACTACTCTCAGCAGCTAGGCCGCCAGAGCTGCGGCCTGATAAATTCTGTTCCCTCAGGCATTGACCCTTTCAAAACTACCAAGAGAATTTATCTAAATCTCTGTCCAGCTAAAAGAACTCACAATTCAAAGATTGGGGTAGAATCCTGCTTCCCAGAGAAGCCGAATAGCAAGCTGCTCGCCTCCTGGGTCTCCAAGAAGTCCTTGCGCTTTTTCTCCTCCCTCTTTTATGACCCTTCTCCCCGTGGCTCCTCCCTACAGCTTCCCTTCAACTGGTTGCTGACGCAGCTTCTGGGCCGCAGGTGAATTTTATTTAATCAAACACATCTTTGCCTCATCAAACAAATGTTCCAGAGCATAAACAAAAGTAACACACCTTCAAATAATATTCTGTAACGTGTGTGTATTCTTCATCTCTTTCATCAGGGCAACGTGATTTCGAATAGATTATGTAGTTGGTGCTAGTTTGACTCTTGTTTATTTGGTGTCTCTGAGACCAGTTCTTATATAGCCCAGGTTAGCCTCAGACTCACTGTGCAGCCAGTGACAACCTTCAAGGTGTGATCTTCCTGCCTCTTGGAGTTACAGGCATGTGGTACCACCTCTGATTTGTGTGTTGCTGAGAAGAAACCAGGCTTTGAACAAGGAGACAAGCACTCCCCCACCTGGACCACAGCAGCCACAACCCTATTACTTGAAACATTTACCTTTTATTGGAGTCAAGATATTCAGATTAAAGCTGTCTATCCTTTGAATAATCTTTGAGCAATTTCTAAGATTCATGTGCTCAAAGACAAAATATTTTACTATTTATTAGATCATTGAATACCCTGAAAACTAAAGATTACTATTCATGAATCAAAGCAATTTAAAAAGCCAGGCAGGCGGTAGTGGTGCACACCTTTAGTGCCAGCACTTGGGAGGCAGAGGCAGGCGGATCTCTGTGAGTTCGAGGCCAGCCTGGTCTACAGAGCAAGTTCCAGGACAGTCTCCAAAGCTACAGAGAAACCAAAAAAGGGGGAGGCAGTTTAAATCGACAAGTTTTCGTGAATCTCTTTGCTTTTATTCTATGAGCAGTTTGGAGAAAGAAAACTTTTTTACTTTTTTGGCAGGGAGGGGAATGCTAGGAATTGAACCCAGGTCCTCTGGAAAAACAGTTAGTGCTATTGACTGCTGGGCCATCTCTCACCAACCCTCATTTTATTTTTAAATTTATATTTGTTTATTTTATGTGTGTGCACACTCCACAGCACGTGTAGAGACAGTACAGCTTGTGGGAGTGATTCCCTCTGACCATGTGGGTCCCAGGGATGGAACTAAAGTCAGACTCTTCAAAGAAGCGTCTTTGCCCTCTGAGCCATCTTGACAGCCTGAAAAATTCACGATTTTAGTTGGCACTTGGGTTAGCACTGTCGAGTCAGTGCTGACTTCTTGAGAAATCCCTTACAAATTCACAGTGGTGGGAAGTGTGTCGTCTGTGATCGTTCAGCCTAGGGCAGACTGCAAGAGCCGGCGGGGTCTATTTCTTTTTTCTTTTTATTCTTTTCCAGGGGATTTTGATGAATTCACTCAAGATAATAATGACGTTATGTTGAAAAACATAGCCGACGACCTTCGGAGCTGTCTGCCCCCAGAGGCAGTGCTTTGCTCGGAACAGCTCGCCCTTCAGAAAGTAAGTGTGCTGAGCCGAATTCATTGCTCTTTGTGCCGCTCCAGAAATCTGGTTCCCTAACTCCACTGCAGTCCCGTTAGTTATAGGATCAGCTTTAAGCAATTTTTCACTTAGTGTTTCAGTCATGTCCCCCCTTCTCTTGAGACTTTAACCTTTGGATTCCCCAGTACTATTTTATTCAACAAATATTTTTTTAGAGAATCCATTTATCAGCATATTTAAAAAAAAATCAAGAGTTAACAATCTAGGCCTTTCCATTTATAAACACCTGAGCAGAAAAGTATGGTTTGCTTGATTATTTGATGGGTTGATCAGGTTTGATTGCTCAGGTCTTGCTCTGTAGAACTGCTGGCCTCAAATTTGAGTCTCAGCCTCCTGAGCGCTGGGGTCATAGGTGTTTGTCACCACACCCAGCTCAACCTTTCCATAGTACGTGGGTACTGTGAACCCCGAACGGCTCTTAGGAAGTGCTCGGTCCTTCAAAGGGCTCTCAGAAGAGCAAAGTAGAAGGCAGTGTTAAATTGAGACTTTGGAATACAGTTTGGTGTTGTTGGTACTGGATTTGTAATGAAGCTGGGGTGTTATTAATATTCTTATCAACACCATGCTATATAGTATAATATGTTAAATAAGGAAAAAGTATTCGTTTATTAATAATTGACCTATAGCCTTCAAAAATGCTGTGAAAGTTTTTAAAAGGAAAATGAAGATGAACATGATGACTCTTGAGAGGCTAAAGGCAGGAGGATTGCTGGGAATAAGGGGCAGCTGTGGCTATGTTTTTATATTTTTAATCTATATTAATATAATATATATTGGATATTGTGTATGTGTATATGTATATATATATATATATATATTTAGTTATCTATTTATTTCTATTTGAGGCAGTTCCACTCTAACCTTGACTGACCTAGAACTTGCTGTGTAGACCAGACTGCTCTGAAACTCACACAGGTGTCCATCCCCCTGCCTCTGCCTCCCAAGTGCTCTGCTAAGGCAGTCACCACTGTGCCCAGCCTGTTTTGATTTTTTGATACAGGTTATAATCCAGGCTGGCCTTGAATTTACTATAGACCCGAGACTGGCCTCAAACTCGGGCACCCTGCCTGTCTTCCAGATGCTGGTATTACAAATGGGAACTACAATGCCCACATGTATAAGCTTGAAGTTTTAATAACATTTTAACAACTTGAAAACTTGGCTTTCTGAGTAAAGATGACTTGCCAAGTATTTTAAAGGTCATTGACATGTAAGACTCAAAGGTTAGATCTTGTGGTCATTTTGTGTCCTTCGGTTAAAGAGAAAGCGATCAGTGTCTCAGAAACACAATGAGAGAGGACCAGTAGACAGAATCGAATCAGCCAACTGTCTTTCGGGCCTCGTTCTCAGGACTTAGAAGAGCTGCTGGTGTTTTGCCTTATTTAGCAATAAAAAGCAGTTCCTTTGTACTTTGTTGCCTTTGATGTGTTACTCCAGATACGACAGCAGCCAGAACCCACAGTTCACGTCGATGCATTCCTGTATGATGAAGACTTTATTGATTCATTATGTGAGGAAGGAAAGATGAGCAGAAACTACTGTACCGTGTGTGGCTCACACCAAACGGCTCCTTTGGGTAGGGCATTCAAGTTTGCAAAGCTGTTACTTTAATGTGCATTTTCTCCCATGTCTTCAGTGTGTAAATTTGTAGTCAGACTACTGGGCATTTTTAAAATAAAAACCAACTTCTAACATAGCAATTACCAAAATTAAAGGTAGGTAGGGTACATAGGAATATTTTCTAAGGGTCAGTCGGATGACTCAGTAGGCAGAAGCGCTGCTGTCAAACCTGATGACCTGAGTTTAATCAGTGGGGTCCGCATGGTAGGAGAGAACCAACTTCCTCAAGTTGTCCTGGGTGCCACGTGCACACCGAGGCGTGCACATTAGTGCAGGCTCACACTCATAACAAGTAGGTGAGTGGGTGGGTAGGCAGATAAAATGTCAGAGTGTGGAGGTCAGTTACTTAGTGTCCTATTCAGAACTGTTTGAGCAGGGATGGCTCTTCGGCCCAGAGCCTAATCAGACAGGATTGGACAGGGACCTGCCTCGTACTCCACGTACTCCACGTACTCCAGAGGTTGGCACACAGAGCACATGCTGGCTCACTCCCGTGAGTAACTTCCAGGGCATCTGAAACAGTCTCGTGCTTAGCAAGTCAGATGTGATCAGATACTACTGGGTGTGGTTAGGCAGAGCAGAGGGTCCCGAGAAGAGTTTCTTTGGACTTTGTTTTGACCAAGTGACACATCTCTAAAGATGACATTCACGGGATAGGAAAGGACATGGCCGAGAGTAGAGGAAAAGCTGACACATGAGTAACTGAAATACCACATCCAAGAGCTGATTGGTAAACATTTCGAGAACTAGGTTTGACAAACAAAAACCTGAAGGTTGGGCTATGTCTCCCCATATGATCAGTTATAAGTGAGGATTGGATACCCAGAGCTGCTCAGCTAACTAACAGATCTGATGGTTGTCGCTGTGAGTGACTCTGACAAGTACTCAGAAGACAGGGGTTTGTCTAGCCTTAGGGTCCCCAGAAGAACCACTGGTGTGGTGAGGGGCTGTGCGGGTGAGAGCTAAGGGGGCTGAGGACTGCTGAGGTCTGGCCCCTCCCACCTCTGACTGTGGCACCCCATTCCAGAGAATCCTCCCTGGAGACTGGTCCACCTGCTTCCATGTTTTATTACCTCTCCTTCCTGACAGTGAAATTATGTAAGACATGATGTTGGGAGTCTTTGAGTGTCCTCCAGGTCAGAGGAAAGCCAGGCAGGCTGTCACAGAAACCAAGGTGAGGCCCTGTCTGGGGAGAATAAACGAGCAGAACAAACCCTAACTTGATGCTCATTCTTTCTTTCTCCAGGCTTTATTTCCCATTCCTTCTCTCTCATGGAGCTGAAGTTCCTTTTTCATCAGGTACTGCCCGACCTGTCGGGAAAGGTCTTGGTTGACATTGGCTCCAGGCTCGGCACAGTCCTTTACGGGGTAAAGTCCAGCGTGTGAACGTACTCAACACGTGGGAAATACTTTCTTCTGCTAGCAACAGCTTGCCTGCCACCACCCAAGGTGACAGCTTGGCTTTATTATTAAAGTAACAGGATAAGGTCAAAATGGAATCCATTGGCAGGCTCCTGAATCCTGCTCCATGGTAATAATTGGGTTTGGAATTTCAGAGACCAGCTGTCCTACTTCCTGCCCTGGTTTGTCTCCACAACACAAACTACAAATGTAAACAGGGTAGACCATGTGACTGGCTGACTGGCTCTCTCCTCTCCTTTCCCCCTCCCACTACCCCTCTGGTTTTTGTTTTGTTTTCTGTTGGGGTGGGACTTGGAAGCTGCTTTTCATGTGACCCAGGCTGGCCTCAAACTTACTATGTAGGTGAACCTGAACTCCTGATCCTCCTGCCTCAGCCCACTAAGTACCGTGATTGTAAGCTTGTCTCGCTGTCTGGCTTCTTTTTCTTTGTGCTATATTAAAATAGTACATTGAACTTTGATAAGAACTCATAAAAATAACAAGTTTACTTGAGCTAAGAAGTCTTTGTGTGTCCATAGCTAGTCACTTAATGGTTTTGGATATCTAGTTCCCTGTCTTTAATTGTGTATACTGGGTGATGTCCAAGGATCCATTGTATCCAGTTTGCTGTGACCCAGGATGTGCATATTACTTTTGTTTCTGACTTATCACTTCAGCGGGTGGATCTCTGAGTCCAAGGCCAGCCTGATCTACAGAGTGAGTTCCAGGACAGCTAAGGCTACAGAGAAACACCCTCAACAAGCCAAAAAAGAAAGAATGGAAGGAAGGAAGGAAGATTACATCACCATGTCTCTTGTTATAAATTCAAATCTTGGGTACTTCTAATGTTCTTAAGTCAGTGTATAAAAAAACTCAAATGTGGTTTCTGTTGGTCATTAGTTAAAGAAAACGTGTGGCCAGAGCAGTAAGTGACTCCTGCCAGAAGCAGGTGCCGTCACTTCTGGCCTCTCTGTCTGATTTGGGCAGAAACAAATTTCCATTCTGTAAATAGATGGCACAATTTGATGGCTTTTGTTATTGTTGCTCCTGTCGGGGTTGGGCTGGGTTCTGAGTCTTGCCAAATCATCAGGCTGACCTTGGAATGGTCCTCGGACTCGGCCTCCTGAGTGCTAGTGTTACAAGTGCGGCCGTTCTGCCCGCCTCGCCCACTGGCTTTCCTTAAAGAGTATTGCCCATCTTGAGGCAAAAGGTAAAGGGTAGGTGGGGAGACGCCATCCTCTGGCTTCCTCCCGTGCACATGAGCACACACGCCTGCAAATTCAGTTACATGACAGCATATACACACACAGAAGATGAAAGAGCAAAGAGGGAGGGAAAGGGGAAAAATGCAAAAATGTAATGTTAAGTAATTGTGACTATGCTTGTATAGTGTCAGTGCTGGTAATGTAAATATTATAAATGTATAAATGTGACACTTTATAGTAAGTCACTGATTGAATCAATATTAAACTGCTTAATACCAACATATGTACTTTAAAACATAAATGTCTATGGTGGAGCTGTGGATTCAAACTTGGTGCATATGTTGGTAGGCAGTCAGGAGCCAGCCATAGTATCTGATCTTACTATCAGACTAAAAGTTCAGAGTCAACCTGGGCTATGTGAATCCTGTCTCAAAAAACTTGGCCAAATTAGCTGACCTTTCCTTCCATATTGTTTCTGTTGCTCCGCAGCAGAAAGAGATCGCAGTCCCCAGCAGTTCTGCACGTCCTTGTCAACTGGTTTGGTCAGTTACCTTCCTTCCCTAGTTTGAAATGGTTGATGTGTGGTCATCATTGCGCGCCCTACAGACTGATTCCTTGCCTGCTCTGCCGTGACATGACTTCCAGAAACTGCAGAGGCAGTTTCATCATTTCCAGCTTTGCTGAATGCCTAGTTTTATCAGAAAAGTTTAGAAACCAGCCTTAAAAATATAGCTAAATGATAGGCATTAATAGACTTCAATCAGGGCCCCGGTCAGTAAAGCTGTGAACATTGTAAGTTCTGTGACAGTGGACATAAACCTCTGCTTAAATGCTGCCTGCTTTACAGCCTGCCGTGTCTTCCTGTCTCAGGGCTACCTCTACAGCTCAGCAGCGCAGCTCTGTGGAGTGGAGCTGAACGGAGAATTTTGCCAATTGCAGGAAATGATCATCAAAAAATACGAGTTCAGCGACAGAATAAAGGTATCTTCATAGCATGTTTATGAACCTTACTAATCGCGTCTGTGTTCTTACCTATTGCTGCTGTGTGTAGACACTGACTAAGGTGGCCTTGTGTGTTATTAGAGAGCTTTTACCTCTTCTTTCTCCATATCACAGTTCGGATAGCAGGACTGTAATTCTCCAGATCTTGACTGCCAGTGTATTTTATAAACCGAAATGAAAGGGCTTGCACTGTTCATAATTATTATGTAAATGTCACAGGACAGTGGTTATTAGGGAAGGATGTCTGTGTTAGGCTGGTACAGGTTTCCTCTTTTTCCTATAGGAACAAAAATCACAAGACAAAAGATTTGGGGGGTTTTGATTTTTTGGAAGGGGTCTGTTTGTTTTGTTTTTTTTGTTTTTGTTTTTGTTTTTTTGAGACAGAGTTTCTGTGTAGCTTTGGAACCTGTCCTGGAACCCACTCTGTAGACCAGGCTAGCCTCAAACTCACAGAGATCCACCTGCCTCTGCCTCCCGAGTGCTAGGATTAAAAGCATGCGCCACCAGTACCTGGCTAAAGGGATCTGTTTAATGCAATAATCTTTGAAATTTTGATAAGGTGCTTTACTTCTCATGGCAATATAGAGAATGTTAACAATCTCTGATATTGCATAACTGTCCTTAACATTGAAAAGCTCAACAAGTTAAAGATCTACAGACTGGAGAGACGGCTCAGTGGCTGAGAGCACTTGCTGCTCTTGCAGAGGGCCCAGGGGTCCCCATAGCCTACATCCAGTGTTTACAACTGCTTGTGACGTCAGCTGCATGTGACCCAATGTGCTCTTCTGGTCTCCACAGAAACCAGACAATGCAAATAAAGAGGTGTGCATACAAATAAGGAGGCTCACACACACACACACACACACACACAAATAACAATCAGTAAAGTTTTTAAAAAGATTAAGATCAAGGCTTCCCCTTTTTTATAAAAGGTAATTGTTTTATTTCCTCAACTAACTGCCCATCTAAACTTCGAAATTTTTGTGTCTGCTGTTTCCATTCTTATTTCCCTCATCTTTCTTGGTTTATAACCTTTTTCTATTAAAAAAGAAAATAGTAGTTCCGTATTGTCATTATAATAGAGTGTTGATAATACATGTAAGGGCGTGTCTGAGTTTGATCAGCTCTCTTGACTACGGGGTCTGTTGTTTTGCTTTCTCCTGTGCCTTCCCTCCAGGCTGGCACCAAACCTTCAGTCTTTGTGGTCATTGCACTTGGTTCGCTCCTTTGACCACACAGGGGAGTTCCATTAGTTGGGTTTCTTCATCCCATTAGTGCAGTGAACCATATTCAGGCCCAGATGCTGTCGTCTCTTTAACCTGGTTTGTGTCCCTGCACAATAGCTCACATCTAAGAGCGGGCCACAAAATATTGGTTGAGTTTGGTTGTTTCATGGCTTCTGTGCTGCCAGCAGTCCAGAGTCTGCCCCTAAGCATCCCTTAGGGTTTTCCTGGCACCCTGAGAGCTCTTCTGTTGTATGCCATGATTAATTGGTCCTTCTGATTCTTTCCCTAGTTTGTGTAACAGAGGAATGGAGAAAGAAAAATAAAAAGTAAAGACAGGTGGGAAAGAGAAAGGAGGAACTAAGGATAAGAAGAGAGGATGAAGATAAATCAACTGATTAGTTTACATTCTGTTGCATGGCTACTCTACATGTTTATAACGTCTGAAATTATTAACTGGGTTGTTGGTGACAAGAGCCTTGTCCTCTTGAGCTGTCTCGTGGGCCCAGCTGTCTTTCTTTTTATTGAAGACTGTGTTAAAGCTGTGCTTAAAAGTTCTAGGGCAAATGAATTAACTTTTTCAGAATGTTTATTATTTAAAAGAAAGAACTTTTTAAAAAAAAATCAGACCCACCACCTTGCATATCATATATTTGTAAGGCTTGAGTATTTATTTGAAAATAACATACAGTAAAGACTTTCTCTTCCTTGTACAGTAAAAGCTATTTGTTTTGCTCCTGAGCCTATAAGTGCATCTTGTTACCATGCCCATTGTCTGCAAAGCCTTAATTATTGAGTTATATAGGGTTTTTTAAAGATTTATCTATTTTATTATTTTTGGTGTATGAATGTTAGACCTGTATGTGTGTCTGTGCACCATATGGGGTGTCTGACCACAAGATCAGAAGAAAGCATTGGTTCCCCGGAGAGCAGAGTTACAGAAGGTTGTGAGCTGCCGTGTGGGTGCTGATAACCAAACCTAGGTCCTCAACAAGTGCTCTTAACCACTGAACCAACTCTTCAGCCCTATATACTGTTTACATAAATTGTTTTGTTTATCTTTCTTGTTAGACAATACATTCAAGTAAATTTTAGAATCAAGTTAGCATAGGGCATATTAACATTTGACAGTTTATAAGCTAATGGTTTTGAGGTTTTGAGTTTCTTTTTTTTTTGTTTTTAAGATTTTCTTTTAATTGTATGTGTTGTGTTTTTGCCTACCATATATGTGCCTGGTACCCACTGAGGCACTGGATCCCTTGGAACTATGGAGTTACAGACAGCTGTTAACCACAATGTGGGTGTTGGGAACCAAACCCCAGTTCCCTGTAAGAGCAGTAAATGCTCTTAACCAGTGAGCCATCATTCCAGCCCCTTGAGGGGTTTCGTTTTCATATCTGCCTTTAAATTTGTATATTGTGTAATAAGGACTGATAACCAGTATGAAAAACTACCTGCCTGAGAGTACAAGTTTAGTTGGGCAGACCCGTAATTTCTCCTTTACACCCAGATCTTTTGGCTCTTAAACCTAACAGTGTAATTATCATGGAAAAATAAAATCTCTGAATTCAGTTAAAAAAAATAATTATGAATCAGGGGACACAATTATAACGAAACAAATAATTCCATAGCAAGTATTCTTTACAAGCTTCTGGGTTTACTAGATCCTAAGAACTCTGTGTGGTCTTGCATAGTCCTGAGCCGGGCGGCATTTCCTACGTAGCTGTGAGGTGCATCATCCTCACTGTCTTACATGCGCTCGTTCCTCCCTAGGTGCTTCATGCAGACGTCTGTACCCAAGGCCCACTTCTGCAGAGTGCTGATGTCATTGTGATGAATAATGTCTTCGAATATTTTCTTACTGAGGCTGAACAGGCCAGGTATGTTATTTACTTAGCAAGAAATTTGTTATTAAATATATCCAGCAAGGTGTGAAAAGAGGCTGACTGTTAAGGTAGAAATGTTTTCATGCTGACTTTAAAAATGACACACTCATTTTTTTTTAGTTTTATTTACTTATTTTTATTATTTTTTAAATAAATTTATTTATTTATTATATATACTCTTTCCAGGAGACAGTGCCAGATCCCATTACACATGGTTGTAAGCCACCATGTGGTTGCTGAGATTTGAACTCAGGACCTCTGAAAGAGCAGCTAGTGCTCTTAACCTCTGAGCCATCTTTCCAGCCCCTTATTATTTTTTAATATATGAGTGCTTTGCCTGCCTGTATGCCTGCATGCTAGAAGAGGACATCAGATCCCATCATAGATGGTTGTGAGCCACCATGTGTTTGCTGGGACTTGAACCACTGAGCTGTCTCTCCAACTCAACTTGTTTTTTTAATGATTTTTATTTATTCTTTGACAGTCTCATACATATCGACTTATTTTAATAAGGAAACACATTAAACACAAAATGCAAAGTTTTGAAAAAACCAATTTTGTGAAATGTATTTAATTTCTTTTTGGAGTTTACATGTATTTATTTATTTGTGTGTGCAAAGCCTTCTTCCTCAGGTGTTTACAATGTATAGGAAAGGACTGCCATATCTCTCTCCCCCTGGATGTTTCCAGCCGGCAGAGCGCCCCCTTAGAGAGACTGCTCCTGGTGAGGTTAGCTGAGCCTGCTTCCTTGTCAATTGTACACCATGAGCCCCGTCTTCTTGCTCAGCTACCTGCAATATCCTGTTCAGCTGTATAAAATAAACACACTGAGCTCCCAGGTGATGCAGCTTCTCCATCCAAGAGCACAGCCCACCCAACCCCAGTTCTTCTGTGTGTGTATCTGTCTGTCTCCTCTCTTCATTCTCTCATTGCCCCCAGGCAGGGTTCTGGGACCCAAGGCCTATGAGGATGCAGCACTTCTGCATGAGCCCGTGGCAGGGAATTCGGCTTAATAGCTAGTTCAGGGCATCCTGAGCTCTGAGACCTGTTTCAGATAAATGAAAAGATCATGCTAATACAGTTCTTACATCTTGTATTAAATAGGCTTGTAAAATATATCATTTTGGGGAACCACATTATAATAGAAAGTAATAGTTCTAGCTGAAACAGTGACATTTATTATTGAACGTTGCTGTGTGATATTATACTCATCTAGGAAAAAAGGAACATTGTATTATCTTGTTAATAACTTATGAAACCTACTAGCCATAACCTCAACCAAAAATAAGTGCAGCCAGACAGTGGTGGAGCACCCCTTTAATCCCAGCACTTGTGAGGCAGAGACAGGTGGATCTCTGTGAGTTCAAGGCCAGCCTGGTCTACAAAGTGAGTTCCAGGACAGGCTCCAAAGCTACAGAGAAACCCTGTCTCAAAACCAAAATATTACAAATGATACCACTACCCACCCACCTCACCCATCTCACCGCAAGACCCGTGCTCCCTTGTATTGTCTCATTGGTGCTCTCCACTGCATCTCACTGAAGACCCGTGCTCCCGTGTTGCTTCATCGGTGCTCCCCACTACATCTCACTGAAGCCCCGTGCTCCCCTGTATTGCCTCATCGGTGCTCCCCGCTGGTGTTGTAAACTGTCAAAATCATAACGTACTGTAGGAGTCTGGTGCATATCAAGCCTGAGAGTTAAACAGAACTGATCACACACACCCTGCACTCTGAAATGAATCAGCGGGTTACTCTCATTATCCTTTAAAACTGGTTGGTCCCACCAAACCTTTGCCGGTGCCATGTGGTATTGGAATTCCATCCCGGAGTACCACAAATAGCCAGATGAGGTCTGATTCCGCTCTTGATGTGAGTTTTAGAAGATCTGATCTACACACCACACGCGTCTACAATGTCTACAGTTAGCTTTGGTTCCTGGTTTCTGTGCCCTTTGTCTTCCCAGGACTCTGCATCTCCCTCCACCCAGCAATCCCAGCCCTGGCTTCTGTCCGAAGCACTGGGTCTCGTGTGTTTCACAGAGAAACTACAGAACTTTGGTGCTGGTCCCGCTTGACTTGTGTGGCTCTGAACTTGGTTTCTCCTTCGGCGGAAAGTTTCCAGTGGCCCACAGCCCCATCTCGTTAATCTCAGAACGCTAACCTCATAGCTTTGCCAACACCCCTCAGGAACTGGAAAATTTGTCAATTTCTACTGTGTTGCTGTAGTTCTGTTTCCTGTTTGCCCATCTAGATTTCTAGATACTGTCTGCATTTTCTTTTGTCATCTTTATTCAGAAAAAAAAAATACAGTATCAAGTGAAAGGTAACATGTCAAGTTTTTGCTTTGCTTTTCCTAGTGAAGTTTTGAGTCTCAGCAAAACTAAAGAAGATACAGATTTCCTGTAGGCCCTACCCCCGCACCTACAGGGTCTGTGCCGTCATCATTCTTCCCATCAGAGCAGTGTACTTAGTATGATGGCTCTTTGGTCCGCCATAGTCACCAGAAGTCCCTGGTCCTCAGTAACATTCACTCTTATGTGTTGTGCAGCCTACGTATATGTGTAAATGTGTAATGACACGCACTCAACCTTAAGACATGGATAGTAGTTTCACTTCCCTAAGAATCCCCTGCTCAGCCCTTGGTCCTGCACTCTGACCTGACCCTTGGCACCACTGAGCTTTTTAACAACCCATAGCTTTCTGTTTCCAGCACGAGATGATTAGAATCGTACAATGCAGAGCCCTTCCAGGTTAGCTTCTTCTCTAGCAATAGACATCTGAGGTTGCTCTATGTCCTCGGGACTTGAGCACGCATTGCCTTTTAGTGTTGAACAATATGTAGTTACCTTGATATATCACAATTTATCCATTCCCCTGAAGGACATCGTGATTGCTCCCAAGTTTGGACATTTATGAAAAAGACTACAGCAAATATTTATGTACAGATCTTTTTGTAAATACAGCAAAGTGTGCTGGATTTTGTGGTAAAGAATATATCCAGGGTTGTGCTTTTTTTATTGGTGGTGGTGGTGATGGTGGTGGGTTTTTTGTTTGTTTGTTTGTTTTCTGTTTTGTTGAGATTGTGTTTAATTCTGTAGCTGAGGCTGGTACCAGAAGCTCACCATGGTCTCCAGACTGGCCTCCAGTCCCAGAGAATCCTATTGCCTCGGTTTCCTCAATGCTAGGATTCCAGGTGTGAACGACCAAACCTGGATGGGTCTATAACTTAGAGGCAGAGTCAGTGGCTTAGCATGCTTGAGGCTCTGTTTCTCTCCCCCAGCATGAGAGAAAAAGAGGAGACATCTCCGCTCTGATTAATATGTAATATTATCTTACTGTCGTTTTATTGTATTGGTTTTTTACGTGTTCTAGTGCCTGGGACTTCATCATTCATAATATCAGAAAACAAGGCTCGCTATTAGTGACAGTACCAAGTCTCCAAGATTCTCTCTTAGGTCTTAAAAAGGTATGTAAGCACTTTTCCTTCTGTTGATTGTTTGGTTAGTTTTGGTCATGGTGGGAATTAAAACTAAGCCTCCTGAGTTGGGCAGGTGGGTCTCTGAGTTCGAGCCCAGTGTGGTCTATAGAAAGAGTTCTAACACCAGGTGATGGTAGCACACACCTTTAATTGGGAGGCAGAGACAGGCAGATCTCTGTGAGTTTAAGGCCAGCCTAGTCTACAGAGCGAGTGCCAGGACAGGCTGCAATGCTACAGAGAAACCTTGTTTTGAAAACGAAAGAAAGAAAGGAAGGAAGGAAGGAAGGAAGGAAGGAAGGAAGGAAGGAAGGAAG